GGCTACACGTGGGGGATCTTTGTCGTCGTCGTCGTCGTCGTCTTTTCAGCGTCACTTAGCTTTGTCGTCCACGTCAGCCGAGTAGACTGGCAACCTGGTGGTGGCGGAGGTGATAATGCCCCCCAAAAGTGACGCCGACACAGGAAAAAAAAACGGAAACTGTCACGATTTTTTTTGTTGCATGGATTTATGCTGAACTTTTTTCGCACCGTACGTAACCAACCGCGCTCATCGGGCGTGCGCGGGAAGGACAACAAACTAAACACAAAATGCAGTTCTAAAGAAATGGGGTTTCACTCGTACCCCTTTTCCATTGGCATTGGTGACTTGACGAGTCGAACCAGAGCCAAACTGTGTTACGATGATGGCCTCGCAATACGTCTGATTCTGGTTCATTGCCGAGCAGTGCGAGTGGTGGGGTTAACAATTGTCATCGTGTTTCATCAGTTACACAAGCATAGCGTGTGACGTCCAGTGCAGGATTAAACTAGTGCGCAGCCTGTAGCATACGATGTTAAAAAGGGGCCCTGAATAAAAAAACACGTAAATATTAAAACACAAATGTTTAATTTGCTTAGTAAAGTAATTGTATTTTTTCCATTTGCGATACGGCCAGATAATATGAAAAATCTCTAACCTTAAATGCCCAGTCGTTCATAAACGTTGAAGGCAGTATAGTACTATAGTAATAGAGCAAGTGCAGAATCACTGATAACTTGAAAGCATTTAGCACGGGGCCCTTGAAAGTGCGGGGCCAGTAGCTACATACTTAGCTACTTGTGTTGCTACGTATGTAGCTACTTGTGTAGCTACATACGTAGCTACGAGGATCATCCGGCACTGGTGACGTTTGCATCATGAGCTCGGGTTGTTCAGTGAAAGAAAAAAACGATCTAGCACCTCCTGAGCTGTGGAAAAGAGATATAGATGCGCAAAGGCAACGATTAGATGAAAAGGATCAAGTATGTAACAATATATTAAGTCATAGATAATGCATGTATCAAACCATCATCATCATCCACGATTTATTCACTGCTGAATGAAGGCCACATTTAGGTTAGCCTGTGCGCATGAGGCAGATACAAATTGGCAGTCACAACAATAAATTATTGAATCTAGCAATGACCCTAAATTGTGAAATTAATGAAATTGCTGGAGGTGTGGGTGCATCGTTACATACTTAAATATTCTCTGAAAGTTTACAAAAGATCTTACTCGGACTTAAACCTCGCGGCCGCAGATATCTCACTATGTGCTATTTTTTTAAATCTGCAACTACAATTCTTCTATTGCACACAATTAGGAAAAAACATGTTTTTGGAACGTATGGTGGTGGCAGAGGGCCCTATTGTTTCACGTTCGACAACAATAACATACAGGGGTGGAGCGGTGGTGCCGTGGTTACTGCGCCGGCACATTATTAAGTTTGATTCCTAGGCACGGCTAACATCAGTGGCAAGTGATATATTTGAACTGCCATGTTGGTAAAGTCACGTAGAAATAAAATTAATTAAATAATAGAATACCACGTTTCGATTGCAGCACAAGCAACCGTCATCAGGTAGAACTAAATTTGAGAGAGAGACAAACACAGACACGGAGACGCATACAGACACACAAGCAGAGAGAGACAACACAGCGACACACGCAACATAGACACACACAACATAGACACGCAGAGACCCAATGCCTCTGTGTCGAGGCCTTAAATGGAGAGGGGGGGGGGGCAGAGAGAGAGAGGTGGGTCTGCTGGAGCAGCTGCTGGAGCAGAGAAATTAGCATGTCACTGAGAGACTCAACAAGACTGGTACATTTTAGAGATAGTTGTGTGGAAATCCACCCCGACCGAGGGAGAGAAAGTACGAATGGACCTATCAGGGCCTGGTAAATTTTAGAGAGAGAAACAGACGGATCGGACAGCTCAAATCAAGTTTGCCATGTTGGTCTCTGATACGCCAACCCTTTCAGCAAACTACACTGCCCAGCATGGTGAAGTATGGTGAAACAACAACAACAACAACAGCTTCCCACGATGAGCCACCTCGTGGTGAAGGGTGCCCAACATCTCATCGGATCTCCAAAACAGTTGGTCTCCTATGAGGCGTAGTAACTGGAAATTGGCAATGCACCCACTTGTCCCGTGAAAGTGGTTAATAGCCTTAGAGTGTTATTTGACCGTCCACTCTCCTTCAATGCACACTTTTCTAAGGTGGTCCAGGCTCTCCTTCTTCCACCTTAGAAGCATTGCCCCCCCTACGTCGCATTGTCACCTACTGACCTACAGTGAGGGAAAAAAAAGTATTTTATCCCCTGCTGATTTTGAACGTTTGCCCACTGACAAAGAAATGATTAGTCTATAATTTTAATAGTAGGTTTATTTGAACAGTGAGAGACAGAATAACAACAAAAATCCAGAAAAACGCATGTAAAAAAATCTTATGAATTTATTGGTATTTTAATGAGGGAAATACGTATTTGACCCCCTCTCAATCAGAAAGATTTCTGGCTCCCAGGTGTCTTTTATACAGGTAACGAGCTGAGATTAGTAGCACACTCTTAAAGGGAGTGCTCCTAATCTCAGCTTGTTACCTGTATAAAAGACACCTGTCCACAGAAGCAATCAATCAATTAGATTCCAAACTCTCCACCATGGCCAAGACCAAAGTGCTCTCCAAGGATGTCAGGGACAAGATTGTAGACCTACACAAGGCTGGAATGGGCTACAAGACCATTGCCAAGCAGCTTGGTGAGAAGGTGACAACAGTTGGTGCGATTATTCGCAAATGGAAGAAACACAAAAGAACTGTCAATCTCCCTCGGCCTGGGGCTCCATGCAAGATCTCACCTCGTGGAGTTGCAATGATCATGAGAACGGTGAGGAATCAGCCCAGAACTACACGGGAGGATCTTGTCAATGATCTCAAGGCAGCTGGGACCATAGTCACCAAGAAAACAATTGGTAACACACTACGCCGTGAAGGACTGAAATCCTGCAGCGCCCGCAAGGTCCCCCTGCTCAAGAAAGCACATATACATGCCCGTCTGAAGTTTGCCAATGAACATCTGAATGATTCAGAGGATAACTGGGTGAAAGTGTTGTGGCCAGATGAGGCCAAAACTCGCCGTGTTTGGAGGAGGAGGAATGCTGCCTATAACCCCAAGAACACCATCCCCACCGTCAAACATGGAGGTGGAAACATTATGCTTTGGGGGTGTTTTTCTGCTAAGGGGACAGGACAACTTCACCGTATCAAAGGGACGATGGACGGGGCCATGTACCGTCAAATCTTGGGTGAGAACCTCCTGCCCTCAGCCAGGGCATTGAAAATGGGTCGTGGATGGGTATTCCAGCATGACAATGACCCAAAACACACGGCCAAGGCAACAAAGGAGTGGCTCAAGAAGAAGCACATTAAGGTCGTGGAGTGGCCTAGCCAGTCTCCAGACCTTAATCCCATAGAAAATCTGTGGAGGGATCTAAAGGTTCGAGTTGCCAAACGTCAGCCTCGAAACCTTAATGACTTGGAGAAGATCTGCAAAGAGGAGTGGGACAAAATCCCTCCTGAGATATGTGCAAACCTGGTGGCCAACTACAAGAAACGTCTGACCTCTGTGATTGCCAACAAGGGTTTTGCTACCAAGTACTAAGTCATGTTTTGCAGAGGGGTCAAATACTTATTTCCCTCATTAAAATGCAAATCAATTTATAACATTTTTGACATGAGTTTTTCTGGATTTTTTTGTTGTTATTCCGTCTCTCACTGTTCAAATAAACCTACCATTAAATTCATAGACTGATCATTTCTTTGTCAGTGGGCAAACGTACAAAATCAGCAGGGGATAAAATGATTTTTCTCACACTGTAGAATGACTGGTGCACGCCGTTGTCTTATCTCGCATTGATTACTGCGACGCTTTGTTACTCGGGGTTCCGACCAAAGTCTTGAGCCGACTGCTGCTGTGTTGCTGCTAACACACAAGGGCCTTAAATGGCCTTGCAACATTTTACATTCAACAGCTCGTTCACTCGCACGTACCGTCACGAGCTGTCCGATCCGCCAATTTACATCTGCTCCATGTGCCGAGAACTCGACTCTGCACCTGGGGTGACCGAGCCTCTGCATGCGCTGCGCCAACGCTATGGAATGCCCTGCCACCTGTGTTCAGAGAGGCGAGGTCCCTCACCTGGCCTACGTCTTCTCTAGAGACTCACCAGTTACGCCTGGCCCACACTTCCCAAGTGTGGCCAGTGGAATCTGGACTCCGCACTATTTATATTTTCTAACTTCGTGCATGTCGCACTGAGATCCTTGGACGAATTACGCATTATGAATGTCAATTAATATTATTAATTGAGCACTGTGGTGTACGTCGTTCGTCGTGGCTCTCCAACAGTTCTCCCGATATGTTTCTGGTCCTCGTGCGTGTTGTTCGGCACGATGCCGGCGTAGCTTCCTCTTCCCGAAGAAGCTCACAAGCTCAGCGAACAGCAATAACTCTTCAACCCGAACCACACAGCACGTCCGGGAAAATCTACACACGGGTGTTGTTCAACGTCGCTGGAACACCGGGCCTGTGTCTTCAGAGGTGGAGTTTTAGGGGGGTCTGTTGCTGGAAATAAATAAACTTGACCTGCCCCAAGCGTACTTTTTTTATAGTGTATCAACGCATTAAACGATAAGTACATGCACATTTATTTGTGTGCGTATATAGACCTATATGCATGCAAAAGCATACGTGGTGCACATTTACAATGTTATTTCAGCATTTATTTTCCCTTTATTATCTACCCAAACATTTTGCTGAAGGTTACGTTTTTCATTTAAATGTCAAGGATTATTACCCGCGTGTGCCACATCAATGGGCAGCAGTAACCGTAGGATGGGTTTTGCATTCCGTCTTCGGGGTGGATTTCCATCCGTCATCCCCTTATTTAGCGCACAGCTGGGCTTCAAACGGTTTCGTTCAAAGTGCATGTACGAATCTGTTTAAGCTTTTTTTGTGTGTGTGTGCAGATGCTGGCGCTCTGCTTGCTCGGACCGTCTCTGCGGAACGGGTGGAGTGTGAATACGAGCCGCCAATTGCTCAGCCGTAACGTTGACGATGATCCATCCGCGACACCTAATAAGGCGTTCGGGCTAAGACGGCGCTCACACTTGGAATTTGTGTCCGCGGGTAACCTTTCGTCTTCACGTCGGCGCTCATTTGCGCTCTCGCGAGGCACGCCGCTCGTAAGACGTGGCGACGTTTAAAAAAAAAAGCATTCGTAACTTGTACTGCTGGACACCTGCGAGAAAAAGAGCTTTGTAGCTCATCGGATTCTTCTGGTTAAAAAAAATCAAAATTCTGATTCTATTATATGTGAACGACTGCAAGGCAGAGTTTATTTCCCCAACCTTTGCGAATTTCCACATCGGTGATAGTAACATTTAACCCTAGTTTAACCCTGTTTCATTTTAATTAATATGGAAATTAGCACATCCCTCCCAAAAAATCTGAGCAAATTGAAGGGGTTTTTTTTTCCTTGAAAATTTGAAAAGTAAATAAATCTCTAAACTGTCTGCACCATCCAAGGCAGCCGATGAGTAATTACAGGTTAATGAGACATTTTATGGTCCTCCTCATTCAGTAATTTAATTAAAAAATCAGAGTGCGCCATCTGCTATCGTGTGTGTGTATATATTAGAGACCATTATAATAGTAATACGGTAACGCCCGACGTTACTCAGCAAAGCAGACCGCCGTGTATTAGACTCCTAGGCCAAACTCAGTCACTAATTGTAAAAAAAACAAAATAGAACTGTCTTTACATAATTCAGTTGGACGTGCCTCGCTTTCAAAGAGATCATTAATCTGCAGTGGCTTTCGCCTGGGTAAATTAATCATATGCAAAGAAACAATGTTTAATGGCTCACGATCTGTGCATCGTAAGTGGCTGATCTGCATGTGTGTGTTTTGTCTAGAGAAGCCCTCCTTGGCCACTCAACAAATTCCATTGCATTGTATTTCATATTCAAGCTTTTACGTGAACGAGGTTGAAATTATGAAGACGACTTCATCATTCCGCTCAGTCAGCTTTATCAACAATGGCTATTCTAATCTGCTCTACCATTTACATCAGCCTGCTATGTGATAAGAGCCAAGTTTAAAAATCCTACAACGAATAAGCACATGTTTTTTTGTTTTGTTGTAGTAAGCCGGGTATTTGCACGTGATATTTAACCGCTACTGCAGAACTCACACAAACACAAACACGTGTTCCCTACCTATGGCACTCTTTCCTGTTGTTGCTGTTGGTTGGAGATGTTAACTACCTCTCCTGATTAGCAGGAGGCCGTGGGTTCGATCCCGACCCTAACGCCTGCTGCTGTATATTTGGAGTTTGCGTGTCTCTCTCTCTCTCTTTCCCCGTGGTCACGTGGATCTCTCTCCGGGCCCTCTGGGGTTTTCCCTACACATTTACAAACGTGCGATAAGAGTATTTGGCTGCTATGTAAATGTCAACGTGATAAGCCACTTCTTTGACCTATCATTTGTGGCCAGGTCGCTTCTGAAAAAGAGCTGTATAGCTCAGTGGGCCTTACCTGGTAGAAGAAAGAAAGAAAAAAACGTTTAGTTTCAAATCGTTTTCGCTTAGTAATGAGAAATCACCTTTGAACACACTGAACTTCGGTGAAACCTCTGCACGTAATTTATCAAAGGGGAATCGCAGTGAATCTCCTGCAGCCTGCACTGCCTCATTTGCACGCGCAAATGCGAAAGAGAATTGTAAGAAATGTGCACAGCTATACTGAAAAGATGGACCATAAAACGTGTTACGTGCTTGCGAATGGCTTAACAAACCCAAGGCTAAGTCGGAGTCCACGCTATTCACCCTCAATCATCCCTTCTGCCATTGGTGGAATGTTAATGCCGTACTTAAATGGCACTATTATGCTTCTGCTGTGAAAATATACTCTGGGAAGTCGATGTGATGGACAGGCTAGGGCAGGAATGTTGGCTCTCTGCCTGCACATCTGTGTTTTCTTACGTTAACTGGTGTTCTACTATCACTCGCTCCACGGCGAAGATGATCAAAACATGCGGTGGTGTAACGTGCGATGGAATTGCACTCTCCCTTCCAAAATGTGCATCGCACGTTACGGGATGCGGGTCAGAGCAAAGAGAGTGTGTAAGCTATTTTAATCGCACTCTCGCCAATATTTCACCTTCCTTTTCCCTCCACATGTGTGCAATGCACATGCGGATGTGGACAGAGGTATGGGACAGTGCCAATGTTTTTTTAGCACAACATTCAGAAAAGGAGTCAAATAAAAATGCGACAAAACTTTTTTTTATTGAGTCCAGTTGTACCGTCGCATCAGTAATACACATGAAACTGGTAATCCAGTTTCATGTGTTTGTGTTATGGTCGAAACGTCGTGATAATTTTTTATTGTTTTATATTTTTTTATTATTTTATTGTTTCCCTTCAACGTGACTTTACCGAAAGAACTAAGGATATGGTAATCCACACTTTCGACCGTACGGTAAACCACTGTATAGGTTGGTCCAGATGTCTTGTGTCCAAAATAAGGTGTATTTAAAACAGAAATGAATATGCAAAGGGAAAGACAAAATATTAGTGGTCAATTAATTGGGGGGGCACAGGCCATGTGCGTAGAGGAATAACAAAACGACACGAACTCTCTCTCCTGAAGCCCTCTCGTAGCTTGCAGACCTCGACATTGTCTTAAAAATACAAAATAACATTTACAGCCCTTGATCAATCCACCACTTGGATAAAGGCCTACCAAAGCCATGCCAGTCATCCATACTTCACCATGCTGGTCAACGTGGGTTGGTGGACATCACTCGTCACTGAAGCGAGCCTTGGTCAGGAATTTAACTTATGTTCCCGGATTCATAGTGCAGTGCCCTCACCACCCCCCCCCCCCTAACAGACATCATCATTAACAGCAATCAGCCATGGTCAATCCACTGCTGGGTTTATAATAGCGCAGTGTGCTTACCGCTGAACCACCGCCCCCCCCCCCCCCCTCCGTGGGTTATGGGTAATGAATTAAATAAATGTGCCCTCATTCTGCCCACAAAAATCAAACATCACATAAAATATTAAAACGGTGTGTGAGTTTAGGCACACTTTTAATAAACTGCAGCCATTCCATTTTCATCACATATATATCAGGGATATAGTGAAATATCGATTCGTTGATTATAATTGAGCCTTGCGCTCACAATACACGTGTAAAATTGTGCTTGTGAAAACGGATAATTTGAGAGTCATATGTTTTATGGATGGTAATCGATTTACGTGACCCCTGTATCCACCTGAGGCACTTAAATGGACAACAATGGCCTAAAATGAGAATCAATTTTAACTAAATGTTTTTTTTGTGACCCCCGAATCGTTCAAGTTTAATGAGGTCACACACGAAGAATATGCTCCGGTTTGCAAAAGCTAAAAAAGTGACCACCCAAATTTTGTGATGGATGATTTATAAATATACAAGGCTTGTTGCAAGTGATGACAGTGGTGGTCCTTAAAAAAGCACTCCTGCTCATCACCACTGCACTCTTTTTAGCCCGTGTTGAAAGATCGTTTGTAAAATATAAATAACTCCAACTCGCGGCATTATACACACGTGCGTGTAGCATACGACGGGCATAAACCTAATTCTACGAAGTCACGTTGACATAAATGATTTCATTTGTGACCACAGTCTGTTGAAAAGTGCACCTTGCATGGCGAGAAAACGTTTAATTTTACGATTTAAGATTAGGTTTTCAATGAACATATACTGTCTGATCTCCCGAGGAACACCACATTTATGGAAAAACCTCGTTATAATAACTAATATATAACATCGGGTAAAGCACAGTCCGCGATAGCACGGGAGACGCGTACGCAGGCTGAACAAAGACTGAGGCGCGTGGGTAGCGTCTATAAGTATCCAGCAGCATCCCGCCTCGTGTGACGCTACGCCGAGGCAGCCGCACGACCGCCTTGTTCCTACTCGCGCGACGTAGTTCCGTTCGCCCAATCGCGTTATATCCAATTCGCGTCCGCGTCATACAAACAAATGTGTTCCCTCGTACATTCATCGCGGTTATATCCAATTCGTGTGATGAAAACAACACGCGTCACAGGAGACAAACACTGTCCAGTACATATGGGGTGGAGTGGTGGCACAGTGGTTAGCGCAAATCAGACCTGAGAATGAAATCCGGCCAAGGGTGACATCAGTGGCGAGTCATCTCAACTTGTCGGCCCGCCCCCCCACCCCCCATCTATCATTCCACATCAACCATCATGGTGAAGTATGGTCAAATATTAAAACGTTCCTTATGACCGACACAGCATGGGGGGGGGAGGGGGGGGCTTTATCCAGCGGTGGATTGGTAAAACGTTATAAACGTATATTCTTGGTTCTATCGGTAAAGTCACGTAGAAGGGAAACAATAAAATAATACAAATAAAATACGTGACTTTACCGAAAGAACCAAGAATATGAATCCCTGCAGTCACGAAAGCTTTAAATCAAAATGTAATTAATATTCATCGAATACCAATTGTCCTTTACGGTCTCGCTAGACGCCACCTATTCATTAGTCGCGGAAAAACTCTGCCGCGCAGCGACGTCTTGCGCGTTACAGCTGTTAACAAAGGTAAATAAAAATGACCCTTCTGGTTGTTTTCTTCTTCTTCTTCTCTTCAAGACGTTTTATTGCTCTTTTTTTGTGCGTGTCTTGGCTCAGGATGCCCTTGAGCTGCGCATTGGTCACGTGGGGGGGGGGGGGGGTCCCCGCAGGCCGCTGACCTTTTGACTCCGCATCTGTAGCGCCTGACCACCTGCTGTGGCCTCTGACAGCCCCCACACTTCCCTTAATTAACGCTGCCCTGAGGCCTGCGGGGCCCGGAGCCTTTTAATCAAGACGTGACTGCCGGCCACCGCCAATTGGCCACAGTCCACGGTGAGACCATCGATTCATGAAGTTGCTTTAAAAACATCACCGCTGAGACTCAGCGTTCCACACCAATCCTCACGGCCGCCTCTTTTTGCTGCGATATACACATGAACACAGTTCACTTAATAATTCCGGAGGTGGCTCAATGGCTCAGAGGTCAGAGGTCATGAGCTGATTCCACTGATATTCTGGGTTTGAATCCAGACAGCCGTCTGTGATTTAATCTCGGTTCTCAAGTGTCGGTGAGTTGATGGTCTCAGCCCGGTCACCCCAGTGATGGTACAGTCAACCCATCACGTTCAATTTGGTTCTTGCACTGCATCCGTCTAAATTCCAGCTCTGAGAATAAAAAAATCAGTTTGACCGCTCTGCAGTGCAGAGTGGGTGTGAGAGTGCTGCTCTCTACAGCGTAGACGTGGAGATCATTTGAACGGGTCTCAGAAGTAGCCCTGCAATGTCCACTTTCTCGGGCGGTTCTCTCGCCCGAGGAGTTGCACTGCTCCGCGAGAGATCCGCATTGACGCTCCATCTTGCGGCGTGACACGGAGGGAATAATGACTCAAAATTTTTTTTTTTAACAAAATGTCACGCAGATGAGGGTTGGTTTTGTCATCGTGTTGTCATGCAAATTGTATTTGTGCTCAAACAAAGGGATGATGCTCATTTTCATCGGCTGCCCTGGATAGAGTGGTTGACATTCCACATTCACATGGCAGAGACCAGTCTTTCCATAGGAACAATCACTGTTGACTTCTAACAAGGTGATACACGTATCACTCACTGTGGAGGGATAATGAGCTGATTTGACCCTCCCCACCCAGGATGTGATCTTGTAACCCTGGTACTGTGAGTCAAGCACTCTACCCATTGTAATACTCGGACACGTAATATAACGACGGTAATTTTATTTTTTTAAATCTATCGTAACAGATGTCGGTAAACAAGCTATGTAATCAGATTTCTTCTTTCAAAAATGGTGCACACATTTGTTAGAAAATGTAATTTGCGTGACAAAAACATGTCTCCCTTAAAATATAGTATCGATACACTCTCACCTGGGTATAAATAATGGCAACATACTGATCGTGCCGACAGTCCATTTTTTGCATAAATGACGGTATAAAAATGATTGTTCGAGGGCCCTTTATACATTTTAATTATTAAGTTTGAAAATGTACAAGTACAAATGACAGCAGCATACATTATGAAATAGTAATTTACCGCTGTTCATAAAAGTTTCACAATTGGAGAAGTTTGTGTATTCTGCACATCTTGATTCAACATTCCCCGCTTAAAATACCTCACCACGATGACTCCACGTCAGTCTTTCTGCCTGCCACCGCTTCCAAAGGCAGTTAGATTGCGTGACTGTTCGTTGAACTTCTTTCGCACCATATATAGCCAACCGTGCACATGGGATGTGCGAGAGAAGGACAACAAACTAAACCTTCAAAAGCAGTTCTCGAGAAACGAGCTTTCAAACTGATGGAGGGAATGTGTTTTACATCGTGGAAATTGCTCATTGATATAGCCTGCCACCTGAGCACCGTGCTAATTACACGCCTCCCGCTACAGCTGTACACCTTCATTCAAAACGCCACGAATATTGGTGACATCGAGGTGGGTTCCGCTTGACGGGAACTGCAGTAAAGGCTGCTCGGCACACACACGCACACAAAATGTCACTCGCAACGTGAGAGCTCAAGTGCCTGAATTCGCCGCATCCCCACAGAATACGCCTGGCTGCCCTGCAGATTTGACCGTCCCCTTGAGAAGCGGGACCCGTCAACTTCGTTAGGCCTCACTAGAATTGACAGCAAACGCAAGTGGGCTTCCGAAGACGCTCGAAGATAATGAAATTGCGTTGTCCCAGTAATTGAGTGAAATGGCTAATGTTAGCGCGAGTAAGAACTGCATTAAATTCCGTTCCGTTTTGTATTTCATTTTCGCTGAACGCCATTGACGTCTTCGAGTATTCTGTATGCGAGGCGTGCCCTTTGTCTGCCTTGTCACGGGCACGCAGATGCCATGCGTGTAATAGCTACCGTCGCGGTAAATAAGCCGACAAGCGAAGGGGGGGACCTGTGTTTATAGGTTAGCGAGCGGATGAACAGATGGACCATGAGAAAGACCAAGCGCGTAATTCATGGCAGACAGATGCATCACACTGAAAGGTCCCATAATAATCATACGGTGCACGTAGATCGCCCGCGGAGATAATGGCAAAGGGGCAGACACATTTATCAACATTGTAAAGTTAGTCGTGGATTATGCTCATTCCTGTTTTCAACACCGATCCGCCTTGTGCTAGGGTAGTCTTTAACCCCGGTTATAGAGAAAGTAGCGGGGGGGGGGGGTTAATATTTCTTGCACAATTATAACATAAGAGAAGACATTAGACAAAGTATAAATACAGGAGCTAGGGTACAGTCCTAGACATTGCTTGTCCGTGCTATTGCTGGCGGAAAGGCCTCCACGAGAAAGAGAGCTCCAGCGAGCCCCTCTGGAGGGCGTTTGGCCTACTCTTCCACACTGGCCAGGAATCTTGGAGTGTACATATGCACGTTGAACTGATTTCACGCTGCAAAGTAACCAACCTTGATCATTATCGGAGGTGTGAAAGAGGTGGGAGTAAACCGAAGTTGAACTGCCAAGTCGACTAACTGTGTGGTTGCACCCGTTAACACCTCTGGCGGAACAGAGGCAGTGGTGAATTTAAACTAAAAACTAAACTACGTTTTATTTTGCAAGATAAGGCCCACGGAGCTTATATACAGCTCTTTTTTTTTCGCAGAAGCGACCCGGCTATCACAAATGATAGCTCAACGCAGTGGCTTATCGTGTGGGAATTTATAGCAGCCAAATAATCTAAACGCGCGTTGACTCTAACTGGGGAGAGAAAACCCGGAGGACCCAAAGAAAAATCCACGCGATCTCGGGGAGAACGTGCACACTCTAAATATACAGCAGGCGTTAGGGTCGGGATCGAACCCATGTCCTCCTACGTACCAGGCGAGGTAGTTCAAAGAAACTTGCCGCGTTGTTTCAACTGCTGTGCCTGGAGATCGAACCAAACCAGTGACGTCTGGTTTCTCTTCATCCTATCCGGCCAGCTACCGGTACAATGTTATCCAAGTCATTCATAACATTGGAAGAGATAATTCAATAAAAATGATCATGGTACAAAACATCGTTTTGCAAGTCCAGTTGAGTGTGCGATAACCACTACGCACTTAAACCTGGTTACAGAGGAAGAAGGTGATTGATCATTTCCTTTACGAACGACAGAAGGGACAACAGACGAGGCATGAGACAAGCCGGATTATTGATGATCGCAAATTATCTTGAGTGCCCTCCCTCCGCTCGCTACTGTAACAGCAACAGCAGTAACGGACACTGCGCTTGCCTTTCCCTTCGATGTGAAACCGCCTCTTGAACCCCCCCCCCCTCTCTCCCCTGGACCCCCGCCTCCCTTCAGAGCTTTCCCTGCACCGCCACTCGCTGCCAAAGAACACAGGGAGAGGCATCGGCACGTGCTTCCCGTTTGGAGCCACTCTCGCTGCTTACACCACTCGGGCCGCTGCTCAATGCACAAGGCCATCATCACCCAGCACGGTTCCATCCTCGAGCACTGACTTCTTCCCACTCCCGCCACCTCGCCACGGTGAGTTACAGCTTTACTAACCACCGCTAACTCGTGTTAGGTCGCGCAAGCTTGCTCGCTCGCTCGCTCGCTCGCTTGTTCGTTCGTCGTTGTCGCTGCGCATTGGCGAGTTGTCATCGTGTAAAGTTCTTGCAGTAGACGTCAACTACCTCGCCTGCTTTGCGGGAGGTCGTGGGTTCGATCCTGACCCCTGACGCCTGCTGCTGCTGTATATTTGGAGTTTGCGTGTCTCTCTCTCTCTCTCTCTCCGCGTGGTCGAGTGGATTTTTATCCGGCTCCTCCGGGTTTTTCCCTCCACATTTATAATCGACAAACTTTTATTAGAGGATTTGGCTGCTATCTTGATTTGAAGCTTTCGTGACTGCAGGAATCCATACTGTTTGGTTCTTCTTTTGACTTTAACGAAAGAACCAAAGAGTATTTGGCTGATATTATATTCTTGGTTCTTTCGGTAAAGTCACGTAGAAGGGAAACAATAAAATAATTTTTAAAACGCCAATTTTTTCAAAATTTCTTGCTGTGGTTTTCACATCTGATGATGATTGCTTGTGTTGCAGTCGTATATTTTTATTATTTTATTGTTTCCCTTCTACGTTAATTTACCGAAAGAACCAAGAATATGAATCCCTGCAGTCACGAAAGCTTTAAATCAGTATTTGGCTGCTTTACATTCCACGTGACAAGCCACTTCGTTGAGAAATCATTTGTGATCGCCAGACCGCTTCTGAAAAAGAGCTATATAGCTCAGTGGCCTTGCCTGCTAAAATGAAAATTAGTTTAGTTTCGACAAAATTACTTTTCCAGACAGAAATGTAACACATTCGTCAATAACACTGCCCTAAAAGGAAAACAATATATAAACTGAACAATTTTTTTTATTTATTTTTACCAGCTAAGGCCAACTGAGCTATACAACTCTCTTTCAGAAGCGACTTGGCCACAAATGCTAGCCCAATTAAGTGGCTTACATGGAAAATTATATCAGCCAGATACTCTAAACGCACGTATTTAAATGTGGAGAGAAAAAAACCAGAGGACCTGGAGCAAATTCCACACGACCACGGGGAGAGAGGACATCCAAACCCCAAATACACAGGCGTACAAGGTCGGGATCGAACCGACGACCTAATGTATACCAGGCGAGGTGGTTAACATCTCGCCACCATGGCTTCACCTACAATATACTGTGTATGTATATCGTAGGTGACGGTTCGAGCAATTTGCACTTTCTTCATCGCTCTGCTATAAAGAAGGGGCATTTTCTGAAATGTAACCTATTAGTTATTTGTTTCCTTTTAAGGCAGTGGTTATTAACGAATGTGTTGAGTTTTTGCCATTTGTGCTTTTTGCACCGCTGCCAATGCAATATTAAGAAAAGAATGTTCTATCTACACAACGTGAGCGGATTTATATATCGCTGGTGGTGTTTTGTGGGGTGTTACATTATTTCAGTGCCTGTCTAAATTACCGTGACTTTGTAATCTGCAACGAGTGAGTCAATGTTATTCGTACGTAACTATTCACGGGCCATGTATTTTTATTTTACAGTTTTAATTTTTTGTTAATGTACAAAACGTGTCCACAAAATTTGCAGGAGCCAGGTTGTAACCACCCTTTGTTATGCGGTGCATTTATGGTTTGAATGACGATGGTGAAAAGGTTTAACGTAAGTTTACAAAGCTTTCTCAAAGTGTTTTGGCCACGCATTGTACAATAACACGAATAAAGTATATTTAACACTTCATATCACATGCATTTAAAGTTTCACGTCATCTCTTATGAGCAGTGTATCGTTAAGATGCTATTCATAATGCTGAATGTATTACTATACATTTTTGGGTGGGGTGAGAAAGCAGTGGTTTGTTGACTGTACTTTGAATTTGGTGACCTGAGTTTGAGTTCTGGCCATGGTTAACATCGGTGGGTAAGTGAAGTGTGATGACGTAACTCCCATGACCTGTCCATATAGGCCTTTATGCAGGAGCAGATTGACACACTTATGTAAATTCATTCGTTTTGTTAAATCATTCATTGATGTGTGCATTTAATTTAAACAAACGAATTCTCAGTGGAAGCAATACATATTTTACTCAATTTATTTTATGCAGAAATATGTTTTTTTTACAGAATAGTAAGTAAATGTATAATGGGGCCCAGAAATTAAGTTGATTTGGCTTAGGGAGAGACACGAGTGGGCTACCTCTACAGGATACACTATTCGTGGGATATTTTTACTTCAGCCACAATGCAATCGGTCTTCTTGCCATTCCTAAAGGTGGGAGTGCATTTTTTTGGAAATTCATTGGCCACAAAAGACTTTCAGAAGAGGGGCTACCCTTTGCCACTCGAGTGAAATTGTTTATAACCCAGGCCGATTAGAGGTGGCAGAAAATACTCATAGGCAGCTATGCTTACTTTCAAGGCCACTGTTTGAAATTCTATCCCAACCTCTGTCAAGAGAGTTCGCCATCATTCATATGAAATGTTCAAACAAAATGTCCCCTTGCTTTTTGCCGTAAGAGTTCTGTGAAAATATTCACGGGCACTATTATTTCACGTCACATGGAAATCAATCACTAGACCCGTTATGCAGTATTCCACATTTTGTTTTCAACTTTACGTAATGTGCTTCGACACATATTTAATGGTGTGGTGCATTATTAAGACATCCTCTCGCATTGAGTGTGGCGCAAGTGGTAACAATCGTGAGTAGACCAAGAAGTACCTGGGTTCAATTCCTGACTCTGGCACCTTCCCGTGTGGAGTTTGTATGTTCTCCTCCTCGTACACGTATGTTGTCTCTGGTTTATCTGGTTTTCTCCCCAAAGCTAAACACGGACATTGTCGCTGGTGTTGGCCAAATAATCGCAATTCAGGACCCTTCTGGAAAAGTATTGAGACTTAGTGTGGCTTTCCTGGGTAAATAAGAAATGAGTATTATTGTTGTACTAAAAGTGTGCTGACATACATACATGCAGTGCACGACTCACGGGGCCATCCATTTAGTACGTAGGCATGGAGGGGGGAGGGGGGGTTAACCCAAATGCGTACGCTTGCGTATGGGGGGGTCTACTGACAATGTATGTACACATAGGAAACGGGGAGGAGGGGGGGGGGTGAAGCCTCGATAATAATTTGTCTACATTGGCCTTAAAATGAGCCACAGTTCAGTTTCTTCAGCTGTGAGACAACAAGGACTACCGGGAGAAGTGGGACTGTGGGAGAGGCGTCACTCTTTGTGTGCCACCACCATACCCCTGACTGCAGCTATCACGCAGCTCAGCAAAATAAGTGGCCAAGGCACGCAACTTAATAATTTAATGCAGCCGGCTGTGGACTATCTGTTTAAACACGTTAATATGATTAATCCTTGGTCATTTCTGCGTCGATTAAATATCGGCCGTTCTATAGGATTCGGGGGGGGGGGGGGGTGCGTACAGGGAGGGGGGGGAGGGGTCAAATTCTGACATATTTTTGCGTACCTACTAATAAATGGCCCCTATAGCATGCCCTGGTCCAACAGAGCAGTTTGATGTGTAACGTGGCGACCGCGTAGCGCGCGTTGTAGCTGGAAAATAAGCTAAACGCACATTGGCGAGGGCTGTGTTCATGTTGGGTTGATTTACATCGAACGGATATTGTTGGCTGTAAGCTGTAATGAGTGGAGTCCGTGCCCAGCCATGAACATCCGTGATGGATGAAGTGATAACTGATTAGCAGCAAGTATAACACGCTCGTGACCCGCCCCATACATGTGCAGCCCTCCTACAGAACAGGGCTCGGATCGCGGTAAATGCCTCTTGTATCAGATCTGGCATGAACACGGCCAACAACTTTTTCCTATTTTTAAAACAAATATATATCCTGGTAGCATAACAACTCTTTCGCTCAATAAACATACTCTAGACGTCGCGTAATATTTAAATAAATAGTTGTGGGAATTTTATTTTTGATTGTTCTTTTTTTACCCCCACCAGACGTCCTCTGGCTATGGCTCAGACGTGAGCGTTACGATTTATAGGAATTGTTTTGAAATGGGACGAAAAATATCGTAACCTTAGGCCCGCAGTTGTAGAGGTGTACAAACACGGACTGACTATACCTCTCCCCTATCGTTAGAAAAAAATATATACACTCGGTTCTGTCCTCTAAATATTTTAGAAATATTAACTTTCCTGTGTATGATGCAAAAGCATGGCAAGTAACTGTGTTCGGTCCGTAATTGTAAAAAAAAAAGTTTAGCTCTCCGGTTGTGACCATTACGTTGTTTGGCATGATGTCCAACGTTCCGCTCCACGGACTTCTCCTGGAACTGTAAAGAGTGAAACGGAACACGCCGGAACACCACGTCAAACAACACCCGGCACAATACGAAAACATATTTCAGAGAGCAGAGCCATACAGCAACAAAGACAAAGATCACCCGTATAGCCTGAACAGACTGTTGGTGCAAGTGCTGTGAGAAAGCAGCACCTATGAAGGCCGGCACAGCACACGAGGGTGGCCAACACCACGCCCCGCCGTCTTTGTCTCCCCAGTGGCGATGTTTACACACCGCACCAGGTACTCATTTGAGGCCGAGTCGACCTTAGGGGATGGCCCGTGACCGGTTCAGATAATCGTCACTGGTGTTGGCCGTGAGCGAGAATGGAACTGGGATCGCCGGGGTTCCTAGCGCAGTGCGCTACCTGCTACACTACCTACCGTACAGCAAACTCAAACGCGAATAAACTCAACGCAGCGGAGGCGATTTATTAAGTTGTCACATCCATAAGTCGTGGGGGGGGGGGGGGGGGGCGTGAGGCTTGCCGGAGGAGAGAAAGTCATTGGCAAGTGAACAAAAACATACTGCGGCTATGCTGGTACTGGCAGATGAGTAAGGAGAGAGCAAATGAATAGGGGCTACCTTGTTTTCCAAGCCCCCCCCCCCGCTCACCGCCATGTGAGTGCTGGGGGAGGGGAGGGAGGTCGCATTTGCCGGTGTTGCGTTACCGTGCAAG